GTTCTGTTGTCACAGGCCACATTTCTATAGAGACCCACACAGCTGCCATCTTTTTGTCAGTGAGTGGTGAGCAGACCCTTGTGGCATAGGCTTGCCAGCAGGACTGACTACCCTCTGCCTTCCATCCCTTTCTCCCCAAGGTCTGGGGAAGCCTAAAGAGTCTGTGTGGCCAGGGAGCCGGCTGATGAGGGGTGCGGGCCCATCTTCACAAGGGCCAACACCCTTTCCTGGGGACTCCAGCTGCCGTGATGAGCCCCTGACTCCCTGTCCTTTGCCCATGGGCCCAACCTCCTCTCCTCTCACATCTTTGCTTAGGATCTGCTTGGCTGTGACTGCTGGGGGAGCTGGGGTGGTGGGTATGGGTTGGACAAGCATGGTTCCCAGGGAGGGCTTAATTTTGAAGACAGATGCAGAACAGGACTCTGGTCTCCAAGGTCCGTAACACTTAGCTGGGAGAATGCAGTGTCGGGCTGTGGTTTGCTGCTTTGGATTGGGAGTAATTTTTGCTTTTTCAGCTATTTAGGTGCTTAGGCAGGAGGTCCTGTATGGCTATTTATTTATGAGACAGGGTCTCTGTCACCCAGGGTAAAGTGGCATGATCATAGCTCACTGCAACCTCGAACTCCTAGGCTCAAGCCATCCTTCTGCCTCAGCCTTCCTAGCAGCCAGGACAACAGGTGTGCAGCACCACACCCAGGTAATATTTTTTAAATTTTTTGTAGAGATGGGTCTTGCCATGTTGCACAGGCTGGTTTCAAACTCCTGGCCTCAAGCCTCCCCAAGTGCTAGGATTATAGGCATGAGCCACTGTGCCCAGCCCTCTATGGCTTTTTAAAATATTGTGCAAAATAAATATAAAATTTACCATCTTAACCATCTTTATGTGTATAGATGAGTGGCTTTTAGTACACTTACACTAACCACTACCATCATCCATCTCCAGAACCTTTTGTCTTTCAGAACTGAAACCCTATACCCATTAAAGGCTCACTCCTGATCCCCACTCCCCACTGGGGCTGCCTATTTCCTGTCTGTATGAATTTGACTCCTCTGGGGATGACGCATTTGTGGGCTCACACTAATATGTGTTCTGAGGTGTCACACACACAGTCTGCACCTATGAATCATAACCTCCGCTGTCTGAGCCTCCTGAAGCATCTCGGAGAGGTCACAGGATGCAGATGAGAAAGCTCCACAAAGTGGGGACCCTGTGTTTGCTGAGGAGGCCCGACAGCCCTGCTGGGTTTCCATAGCCACAGAAGTTTGGTCTTCCATGCTGGCGAAGAGGCCTGGGGAGGCCGGGGAATGGGCCAGTGTGGAGATGAGAAAGTGAGGAGCTTTCTCATCTGCATCCTGCATCCTGCACCTGGCTTATTTCACTTCCCACAGTGTCTTCTAGGTTCATCCCGCCCTGGCGTGTGTTGGAACGTCTTTCCTTTTAAGGTCACATGTACACGGTTTTGGCTTCTACCCTTCATGTTATTTTACTTTGCAAATTTGCACATCTCGAGAGGCCAGTATCCTGTGTCCTCACCTCCTGCAGGGCACATGTACTTGGTGGGCCCAGGAAGCATCAAGCAAGTCCCCACTCTTGAAGTCATTCTGCCTTAGGGTGGCAGGAGCTCAGTCCCCTCTTACCAATGAGTTCCCCCTTACTCATTCACCAAGCTGGGTGACATCTGGCCTCAGCCTGATGTGAGTGGAGCCTGTTAGGTTCTTCCCAATCCCTGGGGCCGGGGAGGGGGGCATTTATGTGACTTGCCCCAGATCCACACACAGTTCTCCCCATACTCTCTGCTCTGCCTCCAGGTCCCCACAGGGCACAGTGGGTCAGGGGCCTCAGAGTGCTGAAGCCAGAACAGGGAAGGGTCAAGGGGTTTGAAAATGCCAAGACGGGAGGCAGTGGGGGTGTTTGTTAGGAGTCTTTCTTCCAGCAAAGCTGTAGATCCAGCCAAGGTAAGTAAGATTTTACTTCACATACCTACCAAGCAACACCCTTTCTCATCTCCATCCTCTGGTGACGTCAACCTCAGATTTGCACCCCACTTAGAGCATCTTTGTTTGATGCAACAGTGCTTCACAAACACCGATGTGCCCCACGCCCCGCGGGGACTTGGTTACTGTGCAGATGACGCTGCTTTAGTCAGTCTCCATGGGGGCTGGGGTCTTGCATCTCTTTCCTTCCTTCCCTCCTTTTTTCTTTTCTTTCTTTAGTTTTTATTTTTATTTTTTGAGACAGAGCTTCACTATGTCACCCTCAGTAGAGTGCTGTGGCGTCACAGCTCTCAGCAACCTCAAACTCTTGGGCTTAAGTGATTCTCTTGCCTCAGCCTCCCAAGTAGCTGAGACTACATGAGCCTGCCACAACGCCTGGGTTTTTTTTTTTTTAAATAGTTGTTATTATTGTTTGGTAGGCCCGGGTGGGGTTCGAACCTGCCAGCTTTGGTGTATGTGGCTGGCACCCTAGCTGCTGAGCTATAGGTGCCGAGCCATGGGATCTTGCATTTCTAACCAGCACCTAATGGGTGCCATGTGGCTGGACCACTCTGTGGGCAAGGCTTAGGAGATCCCTGGCCCCCAACCCTGACCCATGGCATCTCAATTTCTTGGATGAAGGTTGGTCAGCTCTCCCAGGGCAAGCAGCATTGTGATGAATTAGTGCATGGTTTAGAGGCTCGTCCTCCACAGGGACGGCTGAATGGCCTTGCCACACTGGCTTAGATGCTCCTTGGGATTGAAGGTGTAGCCCCGGGGCACTGAGTCACCACTGGGGAACCACAGGGTATCCTTCTCCTTACCGTCCACAGCATCCTCAACTGAAAATGCCAAGCTATGTGCCGAGGCTGCCAGGATGACGAGGACTCAAAGGCGCTGGCCTTGTTTCTACAAGGTCCCTGAGTGGCTGGGAAGCCACAGAGCTAAATGGGTGGAGGAGCAGAGGGTCGGAAAATCATCACCACACTTGCAAAGTGAAAAGCCAGTGTCCTCTTCCCAGGTTAGGTGGAGTCCGTGACCTCTGGCAGGGGTGACACCATGACTCAGCTCTGAGGCTGCTGCTGCGGATGTGTTAACCCACCTGGTTTCTGGCAAGCGTTTCATCCTGCCCTACACCCACAACAGGTTCTGGAGATCTGCTGAAAACTGCCCTCAATGCCCAGCCTGACTTTAAAAGAATTTAAGGCCCCAGGAATTAAATGTGAAGATGTTTTCCAGCAGCCCACCTCCCACCCCCAGGCCCTTCTGCAGCATTAACCTGCTTGTTGCCTGTCATTTTGGTGCCTCTGGGGATTCCGACCAGAAAGGTAACTATAATCTAAACACGTTGCTATTACTGGGTTTCAGGAAGATCACCGGCAGGGAGGACGGGCTAAAGGGGCTAAAGCTCGGAGAGGTTGTCTGTGTGATGTCGAGGGCTAGTAAACGGCAGGGCTGGGACCCAAAGCCAGGTTTTCTGACTCCAACCTGACTTTCTTCTCACCATCCTTAGCTCTGATGGCTTAAACATTTAACATTTACTCCCTGGTGTTAGGTATGTGTGGCCGGTTTCTAAAAGGGCCCTGTGGCTTCAAGCAGTCACTTCTGTCCCCATCTCTCACCTCAGCCCTCTGGCCAAGCAGCTGACTCTTCAGCTCATCAGCTACTGCTCCTTGTCTGTGACCACCCAGCTCTGTGCTTTGCTTTTTTACTGAGCAAACTCTGGCTCCTACTATTCCACCATCTGACTGTGCCCTACTCTTCTCTGTGCTCCTGAGGGGAGAAATGAACAGCCAGCTCCTGGTTCCTCGATGAGGCCAGTGTCATCACTGCACAGGTGGGACCTCTGGGCCCTGCTGCCTCCCTCACCTGGATGGTGTCTTTCTTGGCCAAGTGCCTCCAACCTGTGCTGAGGAGCTGGTCAACACAGGGCTGCTCAGATGTATTCCTGCTGTGCCACTTGAGACTCAAGATGCCCTCCTGTCACCAGCACAGATGGACACATTACTAGCTGCTTCCCTAGATAATCGCAGACAGATCTGATTCTCCCAAACTGCCCCACATGAAGGAGAGCAGTCCAAGAGCTCCGTCTCATGGCCCACGGGGGCTGCCTCTGTTTCAGCTCATGTGATGCAGAGGAAAGATGGGGCAGAGTCAGGCACACCGAGATTCTAAACCCATTTCTCCCTGCCTCACCCTGTGCCTTGGAAAGGAAGGCCCGATTTCCTCATCTCTAAAAAGGTGGTCCGACAACCAGCCCCAGACACTGCAATCGCTAATAGTTGTGGTCATGAATGCCACGTGCTCGCAAGGGGGATTGCTCAACAAAGTTTATTCCACTCCCCTCCTTCCTCTTTTTAGCAACTGAGCAGCCCATGACCGGGAAAGTAGCAAATTTAAGAGAAGAAAGTGAATTATCATAGTGTAAATGCAATCCTTAGCTTCCTTCAAAGCCCTTTCCAAATTCTGCAGATTGATGCTGCAGAAGGACCTAAATACAAACTAAAACCCGCACATGTTTACCCAAAACCTAAAACTCAGGATTACCTGAGTTTACCTGGAGAGAAAAACCGAAGTCTTAGCAGTTTAGCAAGGAGTCTAGACAGAGTGTGGGGTTTAAGGCCATCGACCAGGCACAGTTTCAGGCCATTTTACAGACTTCCAGTTCATAAAGAAACTTTTTTTTTTTTTTTTGAGACAGAGCCTCAAGCTGTCACCCAGAGTAGAGTGCGGTGGCATCACAGCTCACAGCAACCTCCAACTCCTGGGCTCAAGCGAGTCTCCTGCCTCCGCCTCCCAAGTAGCTGGGACCACAGGCGCCTGCCACAACGCCCGGCTATATTTTGGTTGCAGCCGTCGTTGTTGTTTGGCGGGCCTGGGCTGGATTCGAACCTGCCACCTTAGGTGTATGTGGCTGGTGCCTTCGCCATTTGAGCCACAGGTACTGAGCCAAGAAATTCCTGTACAAAAAAGAAAAAGGAAAAAAAAAGGGAAAGAAAAAAAACAAATCCTGTGTGATTGGCCAAGTCAATATTTTATTTTTAAAAAACTCAACACACATACACACACACAATGGTAACAAAGGCAGAGAGAAGGAAAGGAGACACAAGATGTCCTATTTGGGAACAGGCTGACCACTTTCAGAAAGAGGATATTTTAGAGACCAGATTGACAAGCTAGATAAATTATGAGGCGGCTTTGTTTTTGTAAGAGGAATTTAAGGCATTGGGCATTCCCCTGAGGAAAGTGAAGTGGAAGCAGATTCCTGAAGGAGTATTCACAAACTCCCACGTTTGTTAACTAGGACCATCAGTACCTGAGGTGGTTCTATAAGGAAGGGAGCCCCTGAGGCTGCTTTCCTTTCTGGCAGAAGAGGAGGACTGTTCTCCAAGGAGGACTGAAGAAATCTGGCCAGCTCAGGAGCTCAGCGAACCACCTCCTCCAAAGGCCAAAGGAAACTGCAGGCCCTTCCTGACGTCCACCAGCCAGGGCAGGTCTTTGGCACTGGGTCACAGGTCCAGGAGACTGGCCTGGGGTCCTCCTGTCTGCAGAGCTCCTGAGGGGCTGGGAGGCTGTGGCCTGGTCAGACAGCCACATCTGGGGAAGGAAATGACAAAGTTGGGACAGCCTGTCAGGGGCAGAGCTGACCAGAAGCCATACAGTGCCTGTGTGATCTCAAAGCCTGCTCAGGTGGGGGACAGAAGTAGACAGAGTCCTCTACCCAGAGCTGACTTTCATTGGAATTATTTCATTTACTTATTTATTTTTTGAGACAGAGTCTCACTTTGTCACCCTCAGTAGAGTCTCACTTTGTCACCCTCAGTAGAGTCTCACTTTGTCACCCTCAGTAGGGTGCTGTGGGGTCACAGCTTACAGCAATCTCAAACTCTTGGGCTTAAGCAGTTCTCTTGCTTCAGCCTCCCAGTAGCTGGGACTACAGGTGCCTGCCACAATGCCCAGGTATTTTTGTTTTTTGGTTGTAGGTGTCATTGTTGCTTGGCAGGCCAGGGCTGTATTCTAAGCTGCCAGCTTTAGTGTATGTGGCTGGCGCCCTAGCCGCTGAACTCTAGGTGCCGAGCCAGGAATTATTTTATTCTTTTTAAAATACATTTCTAAAAAGAAAAAAATCAATAGTGCTGAGGGGTGCCTATCCCCTCTCTTTTTACCCACCCATCCTCATTCTCAGAGGTGACCCCCAGTAACTCCATTCTCTGTTCCTTTAGGCAATTTCTCCATAATTTAAATAATATATATAGATTTATCACCTTTTACTGGGATATGATTCACATACTGTACCATTCACCCATCTAAAATGTAAAATTCAGTGGTCTTTCAGAATAGTCACAGGACTGTGCAGCCACCATCATAATTTCAGAACATTTTATCACCCTAAAGAGAAACTCCATCTCTCCTGAGTCCCTCCTGCCCTAGCCCCGGGCCCCCAGGCTCTGGCATCTCTGTGGATTTGCCCATTCTGGACATTCCTGATGAATGCAATCCTGCACTATGGAGGCCTCGGCGCCTGGCGCTTTTCACGAGCATCATGTCACGTTACGGCTCCACCGTGACTGCCCTTCTGCAGCTGTTCAGACAACATAATGTGCATGCTTGGACACTGCTAAAGTGTTTTTTAAAAAGAAAGAAAAAGGATGAAGAAAGGAATCCCTGGCACAAAGAAAGAAGTGGATTAATCAAAATAGAAGGTTTCGGCTGACGTGTGCCTGGAGATGACACAAGAGAGTAGGGGAGGGTCAGGCAGGTTTAGTGAAAGTGACAGAGACCCGCCTGGGCAGAGCCAAAGATGGCATGTGTGCAGGTAGAGACCCCTTTTATGTGTGGCTGTAGCAGGTGGAAAGATCCCACTACTGACTGGAGGACTGTGGTGGGCTGGGTGTCTTGTGGTTCAAGTTTTTTGGGCAGGGCTAGCTAAGCCCTTTGTGGTCTTTGTTCCGGGAGGGGGAGGAAGATGAGGGAAAAGGTTTATATGTGAGCATGTTTGCTCTACCATTCTACTTCTTTTTTTTCTTTTGAGACAGAGTTTCATCTGTCATCCAGGCTTGAGTGCCCTGGTGTCATCAGTTCACAGCAACCTCAAACTCCTGGGTTTGAGTGATCCTCTCAAGCCTTGGGTGTAGCTGGGACTACAGGTGCAAGCCACAATGCCTGGCTACTAGTTTTTCTTTCTTTCTTTCTTATTTTTTTTTTTTTAGTAGAGGTAGGGTCTCATTCTTGCTCAAGCTGGTCTAGAACTCTTGAGCTCTAAGCCACCATACCAAGCCAGCAATTCTACTTTTAAGAATTTATTCTGGCTCGGCGCCTATGGCTCAAGCGGCTAAGGCGCCAGCCACGTACACCTAAGGTGGCAGGTTCGAATCTAGCCTGGACCCGCCAAACAACAATAATGGCT